GTGTCCCAGCCGATCCTGCTCGAGGGGAGCTCACGGTCTAATGGGAGAGGCTGACATGAATCAGATAATCACAGAAGCACATGTGAAGGAAGTAACACGCACGGTGTATCCATCTGTGAGCACTCCTTCCATCTCGCTGCTTGGCTTCGGCTTCCCATCAAGGTTGAGAAATGAGGGCCTAGTCGGAGAACCCAAGCAAAGTAAGACGCATGTCTGGGCCTGCATTTCCCATCTGAATGATGGAGATAACAAGTTTCCACCTCCCAGGAACGTTGAGAGGATTGAATGAGTTATTACGGTAGCTGGAACGGTGTCTTGCACAATATAAGTGATCGTTAGCGTTATTGCTCTGTGTACGAGTCCCCTTTCCGAGCCTCAGTCCTCCCCTGTAAAACGGAAGCGTTCGCAGACTCTTCTGCGGCTGGGGGGGGGGGCGGTCTGTGAAGAACGGATCAATCACAGCTAACATGTCTCCAGCACTTTCTTGGCACCAAGCACCCTCTTACCTTTGCAAGGACCAGGAAGGGAAGTGTTGCCGTTATCCCCACTTTACAGATCCAACCGAGGCACCAAGAGAGACAGTGACTTGCTCAAGAGTTCACCACCCATCAGGATTTGGAGCAGCTGGAGGTTAGGGGTGAGGGAGGGCTCTGGGCTAGGCCATGAGAGTGTCTGGGTGGGACTGACCCTGCCTTTTATGCACCCCCACCCCAACCCCCAGGAAGCTGGACGCCTTCATCTACGATGCAGCAGTGCTCAACTACATGGCCCGCAAGGATGAAGGCTGCAAGCTCGTCACCATCGGCTCGGGCAAGGTCTTTGCCACAACCGGCTACGGCATCGCCCTGCACAAGGGCTCCCGCTGGAAGCGGCCCATCGATCTGGCACTGCTGCAGTTCCTGGGGGACGGTGTGTGGCGGGCTGGGATGCCTTGGGGGTGGGGCATGGGGGACCAGAGTCCTGGGTCCTGGGCGAAGGAGGGGATGAGGATCAGGGCACCAGGGTCTGAGGGAAGAGGGGGCTGAGTGCCTAGACTCCTGTAAGAGGATCCTCTAATGGTGCCCATGGAAGGTGACCTATGACAGCGCTTCCCCGCCCTTCTCCCCCACCCATGCCATTTCTCCAGATGAGATCGAGATGCTGGAGCGGCTGTGGCTCTCCGGGATCTGCCACAATGACAAAATCGAGGTGATGAGCAGTAAGCTAGACATCGACAACATGGCAGGTGTCTTCTACATGCTCCTGGTGGCCATGGGCCTCTCGCTGCTGGTCTTCGCCTGGGAGCACCTGGTGTACTGGCGCCTGCGGCATTGCCTGGGGCCCACCCACCGCATGGACTTCCTGCTGGCCTTCTCCAGGGTAGGGGGGTCAGAGGAGGCAAAAGGGCGGAGCTGGCGGGAGGCAGGTGGGCATGCCTACAAGTGCAAGAGTCCTGGGGCCCGCTGCGGAAGAGGTGGGAAGAGCGGAGGGAAGGCAGGGGCGGTAGTGGGTGCTGGGCATCCCGCGCTGACCCTGCCTTTCTCGCCGCCCCCCTCCCCGCAGGGGATGTACAGCTGCTGCAGCGCGGAGGCCGCCCCGCCGCCGGCCAAGCCCCCGCCGCCGCCGCAGCCGCTGCCCAGCCCCGCGTACCCGCCGGCGCGGCCCGCACCTGGCCCCGCACCTTTCGTGCCCCGCGAGCGGGCGGCGGTGGACCGCTGGCGTCGCACCAAAGGTGCAGGGCCCCCGGGGGCCCCGGGCCTGGCCGACGGCTTCCACCGCTACTACGGCCCCATCGAGCCGCAGGGCCTGGGCGTGGGCGAGGCGCGCGCGGCACCCCGGGGCTCGGCCGGGCGCCCGCTGTCCCCGCCGGCCGCGCAGCCCCCGCAGAAGCCGCCGCCCTCCTACTTCGCCATCGTGCGCGACAAGGAGTCGGCCGAGCCCCCCGCCGGCCCCTTCCCCGGCTTCCCGTCGCCGCCCGCGCCCCCGGCCGCCGCTGCAGCCGCCGTCGGGCCGCCGCTCTGCCGCCTGGCCTACGAGGACGAGAGCCCGCCGGCGCCCGCGCGCTGGCCGCGCTCCGACCCCGAGAGCCAGCCCCTGCTGGGGCCGGGCGCTGGCGGCGCAGGGGGCGCGGGGGGCGCGGGCGGCGGAGCCCAGGCCGCGCCTCCCCCGTGCCGCGCCGCGCCGCCCCCCTGCCCCTACCTGGACCTCGAGCCGTCGCCGTCTGACTCGGAGGACTCGGAGAGCCTGGGCGGCGCGTCGCTGGGCGGCTTGGAGCCCTGGTGGTTCGCCGACTTCCCCTACCCGTACGCCGAGCGCCTCGGGCCGCCGCCCGGCCGCTACTGGTCGGTTGACAAGCTCGGGGGCTGGCGCGCGGGCAGCTGGGACTACCTGCCCCCGCGCAGCGGCCCCGCCGCCTGGCACTGCCGCCACTGCGCCAGCCTGGAGCTGCTGCCGCCGCCGCGCCATCTCAGCTGCTCGCACGACGGCCTGGACGGCGGCTGGTGGGCGCCGCCGCCCCCGCCCTGGGCCGCGGGACCCCCGCCCCGGCGCCGAGCCCGCTGCGGCTGTCCGCGGCCGCACCCTCACCGCCCGCGGGCCTCGCACCGCGCGCCCGCCGCCGCACCGCACCACCACCGGCACCGGCGCGCCGCGGGGGGCTGGGACCTCCCGCCGCCGGCGCCCACCTCGCGCTCGCTGGAGGACCTCAGCTCGTGCCCCCGCGCCGCCCCCGCGCGCAGGCTCACCGGGCCCTCCCGCCACGCGCGCCGGTGCCCACACGCCGCGCACTGGGGGCCGCCGCTGCCCGCCGCGCCCCACCGGAGACACCGGGGCGGGGACCTGGGTACCCGCAGGGGCTCGGCGCACTTCTCCAGCCTCGAGTCCGAGGTATGACGCGGCCCCGGGGGCCCTAGCGCCCCCTCGGTCAGCGCAGGCCACGGCCCGAGGGGGCACGCGCAATGAAAAGGACCCGCGTGGGTTGGGAAGGAAAAAAACGGACCTGGCCGGACCCCGCCTGGAGCAGCGTCCTGCGTCCCCTCGCTTTGGGGGCACCACGAGCCGGAAAGGATTTGGTCCCCCCAAATCTCACCCAGCCTGAAAGGTGGGGGTCTTGGAGCCCACTGGAGTTTGTTTTTTTTTTTAAACCCGACAAGGGCTTTTTAACGTCACCAGATGGGGCGGGAGGTGGGGGGTCACGCCACGCCCGCGTCCCACCCCCACGCCCGGGGCCGTGGCCCCCTCATCACTGTGCAGCTCCCCGGCCCCAGCCACGCCTCCGGGGAAGCCCGTTTTTAACCTTTCATCCATTGGGACTCAAAACTGTGAGATGCGTTCGCCAAACTGTGACCCCAGACCTTGGCCCCGCCACACAGAAACCCCTGACCCCAGACTGTGACTTCCGACCCCTAAAATGGTCATCCGACCCCAGACTGTGACCCCCGACCCCAAACTGTGACCCAAATCCCAGACTGTACCCAGACCAGACTGTGACTCTTGACGTCAAACCTTGACACACCCTCCTCCTCCCCATCGCTTTTCCTTATTTTGACCTAGGACACTCCCAACGGAAGCCTCACCTCCCCTTGCCCTAGCGTTGATCCCAGCCAACGTGGGGCCAAAATTCCCATCCTGTCGCACCTCACTCCCACCCCCCACGTGCCACCATCCACAGCCTCACCAAATCCAGCCCTTATTTGTGACCCTCCCATGATGACCCTGCAGACCCCCCCCCCCCCCCCCCCCCCCCTTTTTTCGCCCCCCCCCCGGGTCCCCCCCGCCCCCCCCCCCCCCCCCAAGCCTCCTCTTCCTAGATCTCCAGCCGGGTCTGGAGCTGGGTTGTGGAGGGGATGGTCTGGGAATCCACACCCACCACCAACCTCCCCTCCCACTCTCCTGTTACACATTGCAGTGTTTGGAATAAACCATGTTTTTATGCCTCCTCAGTCCAAGTCTGAGCTGCGTGTTTGTCTCAGCCGCCCTCAAACTTCTCTGGAGGAAACAGAAACTGAGAAAAGTCCCACAGAGGAAGAGAGGGCAGAAGGAAAATTATCTTGAGAACAATGACCCTGGAGGGAGGTGGGATACAAAGACCCAGAGGAAGCTGTGAGAAAAGATCCTAAGAAGAGAAGGAATGAGAAGGGGTGAGGGCGGACAGAGACCTAGAGAGAAGGAACAGCGAACTCAACAAAGATCCAGGATCAAAACATTTCAGGATTAAGTCTAGCGTCCCATTCCTATGGCTGCAAGCAACGTGGCTTGCTAGAGTCTTCACATCCTGTTCATGCAAGCGAGGGGAGAGTCTAGTATGTCCTAGCCAATCCATCTACCTTGAATGCCCTCAGTCTCACCAATGAGAATCTATTTTAGCATTTCATTATGCCAATTAGCCAAACCTCCGGTGCTGATGAGCGATAAGGAGAGCCAAAGCACGCATAGTAGTGGTCTCCAGAGGGCTGACTTTCTGATTATCGCTGACCATAGCTGCAATGTGAACGCCTGGTTCGGCTACTGACTGCCCCAGGAGGGTAGACTCAACAGACTAACTTACACATATTACCCTATCTACGTTAAAGCATTTTGAAGCGAATTAAAGCCTTCATAATAAGGAGGGGGGAGGAAACGGGCTTTACGGGTCCTCAGGGAGCAAAAAACCAGTCCACTTGCCAGTAAGAGCTCTTATTTGCATACATGAATAATGTAACGGAAAAGAAGCAATGAGAGTCAAAGGTGGATGATGGAGTCGGAGCTCAGAACTCCTACAGTAGGAGAAAACTGGCCTCGTACAGAACTACAACTCCCAGGAGGCCTTGCCGCCGCTCTGCGGAAAAGCGCCGCAAAGTCACGCGAAGGGTGTAGTTTCTCCGTAACCGCAGGCCTCGGTCGCTAGGCTGGGACGCCGTTACCTTAGCTCTCCTTCACCCGGTCCCCACCGCCCTCTCAAATTGGTGAGCTGGGAGGTTTCCAAGGCAACCGTGCAGCGTGGCGGATCTCCCAAGGAGGGAACCACAATCCGGAAGTGACGTCCTTACCTCGCGCCCGTGGTGAGAGGGTTCGAAGATGGCGGCGCGCAAGGGTAGGCGGCGCACATGTGAAACCGGGGAACCCATGGAGGCCGAGTCCAGCGACGCAGGGACCGAAGGCCCGGCCCAGGTGTACCTGCCGGGTCGCGGACCGCCGCTGCGAGAAGGAGAGGAGCTGGTCATGGACGAGGAGGCCTACGTGCTGTACCACCGAGCGCAGACTGGTAGGGCTGAGCACCAGGACTTCTGCTTCCTGAGTTAGGAGGGGACCGGAATCCCGAGTCCTGAGCGGGGCTGGTCCTGAGTGTTTAACTTACGAGGCACTCAGAGAGAAGGCTGGGTTGTAAGATGGGTGAAAATATCACACACGAGAGGGTTGAGATCTCTGTCCCATCCTAATTTTCCAACTCCTTCTATCCCCAGGAGCCCCCTGCCTTAGCTTCGACATAGTCCGGGATCACCTGGGAGACAACCGGACAGAGCTCCCTCTTACACTTTACCTGTGTGCTGGGACCCAGGCGGAGAGCGCCCAGAGCAACAGGTGAGTGAGACCTGAGGTTTTATCCAGGACCGGGAGTCTAAGCCCCAGATCCCCCTCTCCTAAGGATCCTGGCATCCAGTGCCTCTCACTCACCCCACACTTTCCCCCAGACTGATGGTGCTTCGGATGCATAATCTGCATGGGACAAAGCCCCCACCGTCAGAGGGCAGCGATGAAGAGGAGGAGGAGGAAGATGAAGAGGATGAAGAAGAGCGGAAGCCTCAGCTGGAGCTGGCTATGGTGCCCCACTATGGTGGCATCAACCGGGTCCGGGTATGTACAGTCCCTGGAGCCTTCTCTACGTTCTCCTAACCCCCCTCCACCCCTAACCCCCTTGCCCATGCCTTCCGGCTTTTAGAGAAGTACCTGGCACACAATTTGTATATATTAGTTAGTGTCTCTCGTAGCTATCTTTCTCATTGTCACTGTGTGTTAGGAGCCGGAGGGGGCTGTTTTTTTACTACTTTTCCTCTTCAGTAAAATGGTGAAAATTGCAAAACTTGCCTGATGAGCTGACGGGAGGCTGAAATGGAATAACATACGGTTATTTGAGGTGTCTAGAGACAGCATTGGGTTTTAGTACAGAGATGTGTGTTTTATTGTTATTGTTCAGGAACTGGCCTGCGCTGTGGGGTCACTTTGGTGCTGCTGAGTTACAGCCCCTTCGGAGCAGGCTGACATGTGAATTAAACTAGATGATGTTTGAACAGCACTCGTGGCAGTGCTTGGCCCACTTCCTGTGTGTTCCCCTTCAAGGCTTACCGTGTTTCAGGCACCGTTCTGTGCCCCAGAGATTTAACAGAGAGCAAAAGGTCTTTGGTATTGTGAAACTTACGTGCTAGCAGGGAAGGGAACAAGTAGAAGCTGAGTAAATGCATCCAGAGGTGCCAAGTATTGTGGGGAAAAGTAAAGTAAGGGAAGGGAAGCAGAATGTTCCTGGAGTGGATTTGCTATTTTAAATAGTGTTGTCAGGGAAGTATTTACGGTAAGGTGCCATTTGAACGGAGACTCACAGGAAGTAAGGGAATGAGCCAAAGATCTCTGTCAGGAAAGCGTTTATAGGCAGAGGAAACACAAGTGTAAAGGCCCTGGGACAAACATGACATGTTTGGAAGTTCAAGGGAAGGCAGGGAGACCAATGCATCCACTAGAGCACATGGACGAAGGGGAGAGTGACAGCATATGGGGGATGGGAGTGGGTGGGGTGTATAGGGCTTACAGGCTGATGGAAGGACTTGGGTTTTACTTGGGGAGAAAGTTTGAGCCATTGGAGGGTTTAGAGCAGAGGACAAATGGGATCTGACTTATGGGTTTTTGTTGTTTGTTTTTGAGAGAGGGAAAGAGGGAGTCTTAAGCAGGCTCCATGCACAGCATGAAACCCTACGCAGGGCTTGATCCCAACACCCTGAGAGCATGACCTGAGCCGAAATCAAGAGTCAGACACTCAACCGACTGAACCACCCAGGCGCCCCAGGATCTGACTTGTGTTTTAAAGAGATTTCCTCTGACCACTGTATGGAGAACAGATGCAGGGAGGCAAGGGAGGACAGTCCTGTGGGGAAGCCATAATTCAAGGGAAAGGAAGACACGGTAGCAGGAGTGGTGACATTAGAGGTTGTGAGGGGTTGAAAGTGGTGCATTTTGAATGTAGCCAGTAGCATGGGGTGGGTGTGGGGAGGAAAAGACAAGTCAGTGAGTCTAATAGCTTGGGGCCTGAGGCGGGGAGCCCCAGGGAGGAGGAGGTTGACAGTGGTGACTAGGAGCTGGGCTTCGGTCGTGTTTGAGCAGATGGTGTGGTAGGAGGGGTTACTGGAAACCTTGAGGCCGCATGGGATCTCTTAGTGAGCAGATGTTACAGGGCAGAGACACCCAAGGACAGAGGCCTGTGAGCCACCAGTGTTTAGAGGGTTACAGAGACCGGTGGTCTGAACCCTTTTCCAAGGGTTGGTGGAGTTACAGCCTCTGTTCCTGGGGCTCTAGGCATTTTCTGTCTCATATCGCCGCCCCTACACAATGTGGGAAGTTGTCCCAGGTACCATGCTGGTCCTGCCGGCTAATTCCATCCCCACAAAGGCTTCTGGGAGACAGAGGCCTAGCCCTGAGGCAGTGGGAGTCCTGAGGAACTGCAGTTCTGGTTCTCGGGATGCTGGGAACTATGGTCACCACCCTGAGCCTCCTGTCACTCTCCCCTCCCTCTCCCTTCTCTCTTTCCCTGCAGGTGTCGTGGCTGGGGGAGGAGCCGGTGGCTGGGATATGGTCGGAGAAGGGCCAGGTGGAGGTGTATGCGCTGCGGCGGCTCCTGCAGGTGGTGGATGACCCCCAGGCCTTGGCGACCTTCCTCCGGGACGAGCAGGCCCGTGTGAAGCCCATCTTCGCCTTCGCTGGCCACATGGGCGAGGGCTTTGCACTTGACTGGTCCCCCCGTGTGTCTGGTAAGTCCCTGGGGTGCCTACTCGATTCCCGGAGGATGAGGGAGCAGGGTCTGTAGGGAGGGTGGAGGCTGAGGGTGCGGGGAGAAGAGGGAGCCGGGGCCAGCTGGGCCCCGGCAGTGTCCTGACTCCTGGTTCTAGGGCGCCTGCTGACCGGTGACTGTCAGAAGAACATCCACCTGTGGACACCGACGGACGGCGGCTCCTGGCATGTGGACCAGCGGCCATTTGTGGGCCACACACGCTCTGTGGAGGACCTGCAGTGGTCCCCAACTGAGGACACAGTGAGAGAGGCCTGAGGGGTCCGGACTCCTGGGTCTTGGGGCCGGGACGGACACTGGGGCTACGTCCCAGTGAGGGGGACACTAGGAAAAGAGGGTAGCCCACCACTCGTCCCTGGTCTCCAGGGTGGGGTGGCAGGCACCCCGGGTCACACAGACGCTGCCTCGCCCAGGTGTTCGCCTCATGCTCAGCTGATGCCTCCATTCGCATTTGGGACATCCGGGCCGCCCCCAGCAAAGCCTGCATGCTTACCGCCGCCGCTGCCCACGACGGGGATGTCAACGTCATCAGCTGGAGCCGCCGGGAACCCTTCCTGCTCAGCGGCGGGGATGACGGTGCCCTCAAGATCTGGGACCTGCGGCAGTTCAAGGTACTTTCCCAGCCAGACGTTTCCCCCAGCTGCTAGGATTTGCCTGTTTCCCTTGGGTTCTTGTCTTCCAAAGCTGGGAAGGCCTGTCTCTGGGGGTTCTGGCCCCGGTGGGGTGCAGATGCGGAAGCAGGCTCAGTGGGAGGAATGCCGTGATTGGTATAGGGTTGCTCGTTCCACCAGCCGGAGAGGGGACAGGAGGCGATAGGCCGCGCAGCAGCCATGGCCCCAACTCCGTGCCCCGCTGGCGAGCCCCAGGCTTCAGGCCCCTCTGAGCTGTAGCCCTTTGTTAGCGAGCTCCGCACAATCAGCTGAGACTCGGAGCCCGCGTGGTTCATCATAGGAGAGGAAACAGGTGCAGGAAGGACAGGAGCAGAGGAAACATCACCACCCGGCCAAGAGTTGACTTCCCGGAGTCGGCGGCGGCTCTGGGCAGGAGGAATTGCAACTCTGGCACCCCTCTGGCTGACGCCCCCACTAAGTACAGCTCGTGCCCTTCCCGGGTCCCCCACGACGTAATCTTTTCTCCCTTCCGGTATGGTGAGTTCCACAGCATTAGCTCCAAGGAAGCTTCTAGAAATGGGTTCCAGCCCCCAAGGCAGGTGTCGGGGCAGCTTCCATGGCCAAGTTGATTGGCCACTGGGACTTGGGAACCACGTGTCCAATCCAGAGAGACTCCGGCACCCAGCAGCACCTTCACTTTAGTAAAAGTGCTGTTTTTCTTTTCCTCGGCTGCCCCTGGAGCCTGGGAGCTGTGCTTCTTCCCTCTTTAAGGCCTTCATAGAATCTGCAGGTTTGAGAATCACCACCCCCCCCCTTTTTTAAGATTTATTTATTTAGAGAGAGAATGCGCACGTGCGAGCGGGGGTCAGGGCAGAGGGAGAGAATGTTGCAGAGCCCCATGTGGGGCTTGATCTAGGACCCTGAGAGCATGACCTGAGCTGCAACCAAGAGTTGGCGCTCAACTGGATGAGCCACCCTGGGGCCCTGAGAACTGCCCCCTTTTATAGGAAGGGAAACTGAAGCACACCCTCAGTTTCAGAGGACCAGTGGGGATTTTGTGACCTGGAGCTGGACAGGGCTTCTTTGTAGGTGAAACCACGGTTCTCAGCAGCCCCCTAGGACATTAGGCCCCGTATCACCAGTTGCACTTGGCCTGTCCCTTTCCAAGAACCTGGGCTTGTGTGGGTCCCAGAGGTGGTGCCCTAGGGGAACCCGACAGCCTGGGAGTGGTGAGGGCTCGGCCTGGGCCACCCAGGGAGTCAGGCTGAGGTGCTCAGAGCCCCGCACTTCCTTCTTCCCGTAGTCTGGCTCCCCGGTGGCCACCTTCAAGCAGCACATGGCCCCCGTGACCTCAGTCGAGTGGCACCCCCAGGATAGCGGGGTTTTCGCGGCCTCAGGTGCAGACAACCAGATCACACAGTGGGACCTGGCTGTGGAGCGGGACCCCGAGGCAGGCGAGGTGGAGAGCGCTGACCCCGGGCTGGCAGGCCTCCCGCAGCAGCTGCTGTTCGTGCACCAGGGCGAGACGGACCTGAAGGAGTTGCACTGGCATCCGCAGTGTCCCGGGCTCCTCGTCAGCACGGCGCTGTCGGGCTTCACTGTCTTCCGCACCATCAGCGTATGATGCGCCTGCTGCGGCGGCCCCAGGCCCTTCACTTGGCCGCCAAGGCCAGAGCTGGGTCCGCGGGCAGGGGCGCCTGCAGTTCTGCCCACCCACCCTCCTCCAATCCAAGGACGTCATGTGGGCCGTCGGCCACCGTGATAGATTCTGTGTGATGTCTTGTTCTTTGAAAGGACTTCATTTCGTCCCACCACCCCTCTTGCCGAGGATTCTGGTTTGACCCACGACTGTAGAACTGCGTGGTTCCGTCCAGGGAGCCTTCTGACCACAGGGCCCAGTTTGGTGCCAGGGAGCCCTCATGCGGGAAGACTTGGTTTGGCCCAGGCTGCCCCCCTCCCCGCACTCCTCCCCACCACCTGTGCAAGGACCTGCTGGCCCGTTTCCCAGGTGGGCCTGGTGTGGCCACTGTCACCGTGCATATTTTGTGAGCTCTGGCCCCTGGCTTGACCCTTTGACCTCTCCGTCCCAGGACCCAGTTGTCGCCACCAGACTCCCCGCAGGGAACCCAGCACTTCGCCGTGGGTGGGCTGAAGTGGTCGGCTGGGCTCCTCCGGCAGAATCTGGTTTTGCCCTTTGTCTTCCTGCCACACAGGGTTTGGCCTGGACTTCCTAGTGGGGGCTGTCTGGGGGCGGGGTGTCTTCCTCCCCTCTGTCCGCCATGCAAGATGGGCTCCGTGCGGGGAGGAAGGCCGGGGGGCTCCTGAGGCAGTAAAGGATCGGAATGAGGCCTGACGTGTGTGGGACTCACTGGCGGGCTGCTTCCCTGTGCGGAGACGGGAGGAGGCAGCGGGAAGTGGGCCCCCAGATGTCCAGAGGCCTGTGTGTCTGGAGAGGCCCCTGGGAAGCCCCGCATTGTGTAGTCCCTTGGCCCCCATTGGGTGCTGTTGACATCCACCTGCCCTAGATTTTATTCCACGTGGAACTCAGTCCCGGTCTCTGGAGGGGTGGCTCACCTGTGTCCCCCGACTTTCGAAGGCTTCATTTGGGAACCAGGGAGTCCCCCCATTTCTCTGTCGTTCCACCGCTGTCCCCTTTCTCTTTGTTCCCTCATCTGTGTCCCACGTCCCCGTGTTTCCCTGCCCCCGCCCCCTTCTGTGTCTGCCACTGCATCTCCTCTCCAGCCTGCTTGGGCTACGGCCCAGCCGCCCTGCCTGGCCGTCCTCCCGGGCTCCCCCTCTGCGGCTCTGAGCTTGCCCCACCCCCTGCCCCCTCCCTCGGCCAGGCCTCTGATCCGCCTGTGGACACAGAGGTCGGGCGCCCAGCACAAGGCCCCAGGACACATCGCCGCCCCTTGGCACCCACAGAGGCCTCCCCGCAGCCCTAGAGGAGGGCATGGGGGTGGGCTGCCCCAGCAGGTATGTGTCTCCATACGGGGACCCTGGCCGGGGAGTGGGAGGGTCCTGGGCTGAAACCACCCACCTGCCCCGCACTGCGTTCCTCCTTGCACCTTCCTTGCCCGGAGCCTCTGCCCTACTTTCCCTGTCCTCACTATCCCCCCAGGAGGGTCCTGCCTCACCCTCAGTGACCAATTCCAGACCCAGAACAACCTCTTCCCCTGGTTGGGTGACTCCAGCTCTGACCCCGTCTCCATCTGGCTTCTGCCCCCTCATGCCTGTCATCGCGAGCCCCTCGCACCCATCTCTGTCCGCAGCTCTAGGCTTCCGTCTTCCCGTCTCCTGACACATCATCTTCCCTTCCCAATTGCTCCTAGTCTGCCTGTCTCTCCTGCCCTCCCCCACTGTGTCTCTGTCCCCTCCTGCTGTGGCTCCGTTCTCTCTCTCTCTAGGTCTCTGATACCTCCCCAGGTCTCTCTACGCCCCACCACCACCCAGTCTCTGTCCCCCTCCCTCTGAGCGTCTGTCCCCCTTCCTCTATGACCCTTACCCTGTGCAGGGTTTTTCCCTCTTTCTAGGCTCCCTCTCAGCACACTTCCTGTCCCCTCTGAGCCTCTGGTTCCTCACACCCCAGCCCTGGCTCTGTCAGTCTCTGCCCTCCAACCTGCTGCTCAGACCCTGTTGGTGGGTGGGGGAAAAGTGGGGGGAGGGCAACACCCAGGGTCTCCGGAAGTGTGAAAGTACTCTTTTGGGGGGGGGGGGGGGGGTTGGGGCCTGGGGGCGGAGCTTCTTGGCCTCAGATTAGACAGTGACTTTGACACCAAGTTGACACACCTTAAGCCCCATGTCTCCTTTATATGGAAACATTAAGCTGCTCTGGCAAGCTGCTCTGGGGGAGGACTTGAGGCTCTGGATCCTTTCCCCTCCTGTCCTGCCTTCACGGGGCAGTGTGGGTGGAGGAGAGGGGAGGCTTGAACCTCTGTCCCATTCACCCTCTGTGAGCTGGGCCATGTGGGATGCAGACATGGCCCCCTGGAGGTGAAGGCCCCCATTGACTTTGTGAAATGGCCACAGCCACTTCTGCCTCACAGGGCTGAGGGGGCAATTTACGAGGCAGAGTCCTGCACTGGAAAGGCTCAGGACCCAAACCGGCACCCCACCCTCAGCACTGCATGGGTCTGGCCAGGTCGCGAAGCCTGCTCCCGACCTGTGAAGTGGGGTGGTGATCTTGACCTCCTGGCGTCCTGGACAGTTGAGGTGAGGTGAGCGGTGGGGTCTGGCGGAGTCCAGTGGGCGGGCTACAGGTATCCCTGAGCTCATGCGAGGTCAGGGACATGGTAGGTGCTCAGGGAGCAGGAATGCTCCGATTAGGTTGTCCATGGGTTGTCACTCAGGCTTTGGCACCTGAGAAACCTGGATGGGATCCTGAGACAAAGAAGGGACCTCAGGGCCTCAGTTTACTTTACTGTGAAAAACAAAGCCCACCCACTGCCACATCCAAGGTTGTGGTTAGAGACCGGTGAGCAGGTAGGGGAGGACCCAGCCTGGCACGTACCTCCCCTACCACGTCAGTGGCTGCTGATGGGACCAACATGTAGCGGAGGCTTCTGGGCGGGAGAGGGCTTCAAACACGGAGCTCAGAGGTTGGATTCAAACCCCGCCCCTCCAGCATCAGCTTCACTTAACCCCTCTCTGGAAGAATGTTCTCCCATCTCCCAGGGTTGCTGAAGGTGAGAAAAGAGTCAAGGTGGGGGCATGTGGTTGATGCTCAGCACGGCCAGGCCCCGCCCACTCTGACCTCAGCTGCCGCTTTGCGTCCTTAGAGTCAACAGCCAGAGCCATCCAGGTGGTTACAGACGGCAGGTGCAGTGCTCCGTTGTGGGGGGGGGGGGAGAGCAGTGTGGAACCCACTGGTGCTGGACTTGACATTGACTAACAGCTCTCTCAGTTTGAGCGTCCCAGGCCCTGCCTAGAAGCTCATGGGGGTCCCAGAGTGTGACCCAGGGGCCACACGTACATAGACACTTGGTAAATAGTGGTGGGACTGCCCCGCATCTAACCTAGCCACCTCCACAGCTACTACGGTGTGGGGTGACGAGTCCCCAGGTCCCTGCCCCTCGGGTTTCCCTTCCTTCTCTACCCTGTGAGCAGTGGAGATTCCAATTCCCAGAGGGGGGAGCCAGGGCTCAGGCAGGGATGTGACTTCCCACCAGTCCCACAGTCAGGAAGCGTCAGAGCTCGGATTCAAAAGCGCAGACTCTTTCTGGAGACGAGGCTCCAGGAAAGGAAGCCTGTGGTCCCAGGGCACACGGTGGGTCAGCCACTGAGCCAGGACCGGGGCCCTTGATCCAGATAACTGGGAGACCCCGACCTTGAAGAAGTTTGATTTTGCCCCATTTTATAGTTGAAAAAAAACTGCTTAGAAAGATTTGCCCAAGACCTGAGGTGCAGGACCGAGCTTGGGTTGGCTCTTTTTTGGGTTTTTGTTTGGAATTTTTGTGACAGTTCATTGAAATAGAAGTTCGAAAAGGGGGCGCCTGGCTGGCTCAGTGGAGTGTGCAGCTCTTGATCTCAAGGTCATGAGTTTGAGCCCCGCGGTGGGTGTAGAGATAATTTTAAATTTGAAGAAATACATATAATTCAGATAAAATACAACTGACACACTGAAGTGTACAATTCATTATTTTTAGTATTTTCATGGAGTTGTACCACAATCAGTTTTTGAACATTTTCATCACCCCAGCGTGTCCTCCGGCGATCTCTCCCCCACCCCATCCCCATCTCCCCAGCCCCAGGGGAGCTCAATGTACAGACTTGCCCATCTGGACATATAAATGAAAGTATACACTATGTGGTGGGAGGGTCTTAACAGACGCTACGCTCAGCGTGGAGCCTGACACAGGGCTTACTCTCATGACCCTGAGATCAGACCTGAGCCAAAACCAAGAGTCAAATGCTTCACCGACTTGAGTTACCCAGGTGCCCCAACATGTGGTCTTTTGTATCCGGCTTCCTTAGCGTGACGCTTTCAAGGTTCATCCATGTTGTGGTGTGTCAGCGCATTTCCTAGCTGGATAGTACGTCCCTGTGTGGATAGATCCCGTTTCGTTGTTCATTCATCAACTGACGGCTCCTCAGGTTGTGTCCATCCGCCGGCGATCTCAGTAACACTGTCAGGAAGGTCTGTGAACAAGCAGTCTGCGCGCACGTTTGTTTCGTCCTGAGCGGGCGCCCGGCTCATCTTCCCAAGTCTCATTGTGCTTTCGATTTGCGTTCCCCCCACGGCTGACCACGTGGAGCATCCCTTTAGATGCTTTCTGTGCTTATCTTATTGGCTACCTGTATATCTTTCTTAGAGAAATGTCTCTTCAGATCCTTTGCCTATTTTTTTTTTCCAAAGATGGATTGATTGGTTGGTTTGAGAGAGAGAGACAGAGAGAGAGCAGAGGAGGGAGGGACAGAGGGAGAGGGAGTCTTAAGCAGGCTCCGTGCTGAGCATGGAGCCTGACACAGGGCTCAAACTCAGGACTTGAGATCACAACCTGAGCTGAGACCAACAGTTGGACGCTTAACCGACTGAGCCACCCAGGTGCCCCTCCTTTGCTTACTTTTCTTTTTTGTTTTTTTTAAAGATTTTATTTATTCATTTGACAGATATCACAAGTAGGCAAAAAGGCAGGCAGAGAGAGAGGAAGGGAAGCAGGCTCCCTGCCGCGCAGAAAGCCCGATACGGG